AGCCTAAACCTACCCTGGTTTAGTTTAAAACCATTACCCCTTGTCCTGTCACAACCAGCCCTGCTAAAATGCCTTTCCCCATCTTTCCTATAGGCCCCCTTTAAGTACTGAAAGGCCACAATCAGGTGTCTCCGCAGCCTTCTCTCCTCCAGGCTGAGCAACCCCAACTCTCTCAGCCTGTCCTCATAGGAGAGGTGTTCCAGCCCTTATGTGTATGTGTAGTATACATGCAAATGGGAGTATGTATGCAAATATTCCCCCCAAAAAGTCTAATATAACTTTATGTCTCCCTTTTAAGCAATAACCAGCCTGAGTAGCTTTTAGTTAGGTTATGTACAGATGAGGGCTTAGAAAGTTCAGCAGCTCAAAAAAACCCAATGTGCTTGTTACTGCATGGACACACTAAGCCTGCTTGGTTTAAAAAAAAAAAAAAAATTAGCTACCATGCCCCCAAAACACAAATCCAAAAACCTGTCTAGCATCCCTATTCCTGCATTCCTGTGCCGCAATAAAGATGAACTGACCCTCATCTTCTGCTCAAGGAGCAAACTGGAATGCTTTCCTGGGGTTCCCCCTTGACATGCAGGGAGAAGTTTAAAAAGGACATCTGCCAGACACCAAACTTATCACAGGATGGTTGAGGTTGGAATGCACATCTGGATATCTCATAGTCCAATAACCTGCCCTGAGCAAGTTCACCTGCAGCAGGATGGCCAAGACCATGGCCAATACAAGTTTTAGTATCTCCAGGGATGGACATTCCATAGCCTCGCTATGTTTTCATTTTGTGCCCATTGTGCCCTGTCCTTTCCCTGGGCAGCACTGAGAAGAGTATGGGTCCATCTTCTTTACTACATCCTATCAGGTTTTTATAGAGTATTGACAAATCGTCCCCTTATGCATCAACCATCAATGGCAGATGCACAAGACGGGGAATGGAAGACAAGTCAGTAGCCTGGACAAAGCTATGCAAGGATTAAAGCGCATCTCAGCCAGAATATGAGTTAAAAAATCATCCTGTTGCTGCACATATGACAAATCCATACTGGAACATATGAACAGCAGTCTTATATGCAAGGCAAGTGGCCTTCCATCTCACTCAACAATGGTCAGGTCTCTGCTGAAGGATCATGGTGAGTTTGGCCATTACAACTCAAGAAAGTTACAGACCTGTCAGAGAGGATCCCAGTGACAGCAACAACATTGATCACTATGCTGAAAAACGTTACCTACAAGGAAATCTTATAAGAATGGGGTTGGTTATGTCTAAGGAAAAAAAGGAAGAAGGAAGGGTAAGTCTTCAAGTAGTCAATCTTCAGGTTCCGCAGGAGAGAGTAATAGACAAAAAATTAGTCTTAAAAAGTAGGGTGAGAGATTTAGGTTGGACATTCTTTCCAAGGTTGTTAAGGCACAGATTGCCTGAGGAGGTTCCTCATCTGTGGAAGATGCAAGAAGGTTATGTAGTACCTGCACACAGTGGCAGAGGTAGAGATGATCCTACCTTAGGAAAGAGACAGACTATGTGATGAAGTCCTTCCAAGCCAACTTTCTGTTAGTCCATGAAAAATGTTTAAAATCCACCTTGAGTGCGTGCCTTCCATGAAGCTTTAAAAGGTATGGCTACCAAGCCAGGCATTTCTATTATCACATGATTTAAAATTACAAAATCCTCCTTGTTTTGTTATCAGCAAACGGAATCAGAACCTTTAAAGTAGCTCACCAAAAAGATCTCCAGCATCTCCACCGATGGGAGAAAATGAGTAGCTTAAGATTTAGTCCAAATGATATGGAGAGAATTCTGAATCTCAATACCTGAAATAGGCATTTTTAACAGAACTATCTTCAAAATATCTGTGGGCACCTTCCCAAATCTGGGCCTCACAAAGGTACAAAATATTTCTACTCCCACAGTCTATATTACGTTATTCTTCAAGACGGATTGTGTCGCATTTGTCACACATGGTTCACTCTTGCCCTAAATGTTTTTGCAGCCACTGGCACCATCGCAAAGCAAGTGTAAAACGCCATCAGCCTAATGTAAGGCCGCCTTCTGTTCGATGAGTCCTAACACAAATGACTCCGCAAGGCCTCGGAGAGCTGGGGTCTCCTGTTTTATGCATAGTTACCTGTCACTCTATATGCACGGGCTGCTTTCAAAGGACTCTTTGTCTGCAAGGTAAACTCAGGCTGGAGATGATCTCAGACTTTAAATCCTAGCCAAGGGAAGTCATCGGGCTACAAAACCCACAAAGTTAAAAATACAGGGAGCACTGGAAAATCAACAGGAAACAATTTCTGCTGACTGAAGCTTTCAGCCTTCTTCCAAACGCCAGCTAGCAGCGGCCTGTCAGATGGGACAAAGCAGCTACATGAAAGCAGCAGCGGTCCTTAACTTAGTCCATTAAAGCAGGAGCGAATGCCAGGAAAAGATTAGGATTGTCCCTCAGCTGTGATTGTATATCTGGATGTTTTGGGGGTGAGGCAGCTGAGTCCCGCAGACCCTCTTTCCACTCCTCCCTCCTTGCCAGGGTGTCCTGGACAATGGTTGCCAAAAGGGACTTCTCCCTTCTGGCTCCTGACATCAGCAGGCCTGAAATTGGTCCTGGCAGTTTGGTATGAAGTGCTTACCAGCTCTGGCAGCTCTGGGGATTCCCAGGCCCGTTTGGACTCAGGTGTCTGAAGACAACTTTGTTTGGTCTGACTGCCTTGGGGCAACGCCTGTCAGACTGACTTAGTTAGATTGTAAGTGCCACCCATCAAATGAAGATTGCCCGTTTTCAACCCCAGCAAAGCAAAGTGCTAAACTCTTTCATACAAAACCATTATGGAAAAAGTCATGGAAGAAAAGCATAAAAACCATGAAAACACAGACATAAAACTTTCTTCTCTTGCTCTGGTGTTCACATCAGATGATGGATCCCTCAGCTGCAGAAGCTGAAGTTCCAGCTCAGTAATGCTCTGCTTTCAGAGTGGGACATCTCTGAGGCATACCCAGACACAGAGGTAGGAAAACCATCCTTTAATCTCCCCAGTCGATAGAGCCTCTTGAGCACACGTGTAAGCTAGCAAGCTTGCCTTGACCCACTGGGGACCTCACTGGTGGTATCCAGAGCATTTGCTCTTGCTGAATTTGTTCAAGGTGGACTCCCCCTCCCTACATCTACTGAGATCTTTTTAGATGTATGAAATGCAGGTACCTTCTAGAGGTGCATATTTTCTTATCTCTGATCCACTATCATCAGTGAAGAAGCATGGCTGTGGCCAAGGTCACACTGTGCAATCTTGCAAGAAAAGCCCCCCAGTCACCTGAACCACTGCCATTTCCTCTGTGTGTGTGTTTGTGTGTATGTGTTTGAAGTAGGATTTATTTCTTGGCAACAGAAATTTTTCCCCTCCTTTCATTGTAATTGGGAGTTACAATGACGTAAGATCATGTAAGGGTGTTGCTTTAAAAAGTTTACACAGGGCCACAGACATGAAATCTTATTACATCATTGGGTCACTATTCCACGATCATTGCTTTAAAATTGAGTAGATTTTAAAAAAAGAAAGTTGGCAGTGATTTTTTCATTTGTCGTCTGGTCTCTGAGCCTTTACAGGTGCACTAGTTCTCCATTGGCAAGTTTTTTCCATGCGCTCATGAGGACAAAACATGCTTTTTTTTTTCTTTTCATTTTCTTTTTCTTATAAAAGTTGTTTCTGACACTATCGTTTGTGTCCAGATAGTAGAAGTATCAGAAGAATGTTAAATACTGCAAGAATATCAATAAAATCACAAGTATTAGCAATACCATCTGACTGCTCCGATATTAGGTAGCCACTTGTTAGACGATGATTTTACTGCTGCCCAGCCTCCATCATACTAAGTCTGAAAGAAACGCATTAACAGGAAGGGGGAAAAGAGCTGTTCAAAGACAGAAGACTGAAATGTATGTTTCAAAACCTTAAACCTGATTATTTATATATACAGGTACTAATTTAACATAGGGCTCTGAATCTATACAGGTATGTTCACATCATGCTGGAAAGGGAGGACCAGCATGGCACAGTAATAAGCTATTCTAATCTGGGGTCTACTGATGTGCTCATAAAGGACAGAATTATGATTTGGAGCCCACGTTGAGCACTGGTCAGCTAATCCTGCCGTCCTCCTCCTCCTGAGAGTGGCCTGAGACCGTCAATCTTGCCGGCACTCCTGCCTGAGGGGCAGCAGAGCCAGCGGCCAGGCGGGAGGATTATCACACCTCTCGCCCAGTTAATCGCTCTGATTTGTGTCTTAACCTTCACTGACACCCACTGCGGTCGTAATCGCCCCTGTGCACATTGGCTTTTGCCTCCCATAGCTCAAATATTCCTTGCCAACCTTGCCAGCCTTGCAAGTCGCACCTCCTTGTATAAAGTGTATTAATAATTAAGCAATACTGTTAATAGCCTACCCAGCTTTGCTAACCATTTAATAGTTTAAAACTTAATAAGTAAACTGCATCCGGTACATTTCTCTGCTTATCACCTTCCTGCAGCATAATGAGGTGCATTAGCTATTTAGGGAGGTTTAAATCTTTTGTATTAGGTTTATAGCTGGCCAGTGGCACGACAGCAAACTCAGACATAATTCTAAATGGATGTTTCCAAGTGGAAACTTGGAATTTGGATTCAAATGACCTTACCTCTTTTTATTATTATTATTCTTTCCTGTATGAGTTTTTCAGCTTGCTCATTCTTAATTCCTTCAGCACTTATTACTGCAATAAGGCTAATCCTGTATACTTGTACACCCCAAGTGTGGGAGCCGTAAATACTTCTGCAGTCTCTCCAGGGCAAATCAGCTGTAACTGGATCTCCCATTGCCTCACAGAAAAAAAAAAAGAAAAAAAAAAGAAAAAAAAGAAAAGAAAAACAAGGAAAGGCACATTCCAGCCGAAGAAGATTCTGCATCTGTGTCTGCGTGTTTGTGTCTCTGCTGCTCTTGAGTAATGTTCTGTCCTTTTGCTCCACTGCAGGCTGAGTTCTCCGAGCTGAACCTGGCTGCTTATGTCACCGGGGGCTGCATGGTGGACATGCAGGTCATGAGGAATGGCACCAAGGTGGTAAGGTGAGGAGCACCAGTCTGCCTTGAAAATCAGGCTTTCTGGAGCAATGTTGGGGCAAGCGGGATGACCTGAGGGTCTGACCAGAATCTGAACTAGAGCAGTGCAGTCCTGATGACTTCAAGGTTTCCTAGAAGAGGTGGAAAGACTGACCTGACTCTGGTGGTTTTGTATCAGGTCTCAGTTGCACATTATGCCATACAGTCATTGTTTCCAGTCTACAACCTTCATGCAACCACAAATGCCTCCTTTTCAGGTTCTTTTTAGCCTCAGGCCTCCCAGTTAAAGGGACAATGGATCTTCCTTTCCCTTGATTTTTCTCTACTTCTGTATCAACTAACCTTCATTGTAAACAGTGGCTTGCATTCATTAGCCTACCTGTGTCAGGTTCTGATCCCGGTGGACTACCCTTGCAAGAGCCACAAAGCCTTTCCATGATCCTGATCCTCACAGCCTGATTTGCTCCTGAAATACGTCCTTTTTTGCCAGAGCTTCCCAATGCTCCAGTCTTGCCCTGCGGTCTATCTCAGAGGCAATATCATATCTCTGATGGGCATTTTTGTCCCTACTAGAAATGCTTTGTCATTGGAAGCAGACTCTTTTCCTGAGCAATGCTTGCCCAATCACGCACCCAATTCACTTTCCAAAAAGTATTGCTCCCCTTCTTTCTGACACCAGAGTGCCTGTAATTTGGAGTTAATGTTAGATGCGTTCTCACTGGTGCTATATAAAGAGCAGTGTAAGTTGTCACATCTGTATATGACGGTAAAATGCCTCTGTTTACATAGCCCTGATACTACCTTTAACCCTTTTATTCCCAAGCCTACATCTTCGTGAGTTTCTGTCATTACAACCTCTAACACTGCATTTCATCTTTGATACAATAGCTTTTCTTTGTCCATGTTGAAATCTCATTGCTATTCCCAATCTATTTTTCTAGCTTCCCTACTTCTTTTTGTACAATACTTTTGTGCTTTTTGATGTATACAGCGTCTCCAAATTTAATATTGTTCACACATTTAATCAATGCTTTTGTCTGTTTGCTTCTAGTTCAGAAATAGAGATAGACACATAATATAGCATGCAGGGATATTTCTGGAAAGGATTATTAGAACAGCTGAAAAATGGTGATTCTGAGAATGCTGGCCTCAGTTTAACTTCTCAAGATGTCATTTCCAGTCCAAACAGTGCACAGCAACACTTGTCATTGTCAATTAGCTATGACTGTGGTCCATCAATTCATTTCAGGTCTTGACAGCTCTTAGGACGTCCACAAATCTCCATTCGTTCTTTGGTACAATTTCACAAGCCTCTGCTAAAAATTTTTAAGGTTGAGTCTGTTACATCCATTTGCTTTCTCTCGTCCCACAAATGTCTGTTTCTCAGTGAAACAAAGCGTATGTCCCGTGAACCAGCCGCTGGAGCATCCATCAGACAGTGTGCCGTGTTAATGCGTTCTTGTGTTTGCTTGCTCACGACGCTGGAAGGTTTCCCAAGAACCATTTCCTAGGTTGATCACATCTTCATTTTCCTTCCCATGCCTTTCCTCCCAAAGCCATTCATACATCTGGCAGAAAGATCTTGAGCTATTAAGCTGAAACTGAAGACAAAATTTATTTCACAAGAGTGTCTGGGGCATAGTGTTCATGTTTCTGCTCACAGTAAATACACAGGTATCACAGCTAGCCTTTTTGCATGGATATTTATATATGAAAATGCATGTTTTTATGGGTGGCGTTAGTTCAGGTTTTTTGTTTTTGTCTACGGGTGTTTAAGGACACATGCATTTGTGTGGTGGGAAGTGGATTTGGCAAATACATACTTGTCTGGATACCCAATTTATATGGCATGTGTTGTCCGTGGTTTGTTATAGCCCTTACAAGCACCAGCCATTTGTATACAGCCTGTGCTGATGTCCCCGTCTTGCTCAGCTCAGCGAGTTTTATTGCTCAGGCCAGCCAACTCCCACAGCTACTCCTACTAATACTTTAGAAGTTCCAGAAATAAAAACTCTTCTTCACTTTAGAAGCTGAATTATGGCGCGTACTGCTACTGAGCTGTGTGGAGGCCTCTCAGCCCATCCACATGGGTTCAGTGTGCTTCCCACTCCCTCCAAGTCCCACCTTCCCACCCACAGCCATGTCCTGCCTGGCCACAAACACCCCTCGAGGTGCCCAGACACAGGGAGACGCCATGCGGGACACCTTCGACTCACACATGTGCACCAACCCTGCTGCTGCTGACATCTTTTTTCCATCACTTATTAGGCCTCTATTAATTATTAAGCAAAATATTGAGTCACAAGTCAGAATATTTCTAGATGGTGAGATGTAATACTCACCATGGTTTTTGAATACTCAAAGTCCTTGGAAATCCCACTGACAAGTTATGGGAAGGAAATACAACAGCATCTTGCTAACAAGCGCATTTGGGAATCCCCCCCTGCAGGAGACCTGTCTTCTTCACACTCCTCTTCAAAGCAAAGGCAACAGAGTGTGGCAGTTCAGTCGAAAGACAGTGAGTATGCTACAGAGCAGTGGATTTTAAATCAATGAAATAATAAACTTTGAGAGCAACATTATCATCACCATCATCATCATCATCATTATCAACAACAACAACAACAACAACAACAATAATAATAATAATAATAATAATAATAATAATAATAAAGCAACCACTGGGCTATTCTCTCCAGTTTAAAATTATGTTAACTGATAAACTATCTAACAATCTATTAGCCTATTAAGTTGCAGCAGGTCTCCTCGTCCTTTCTTTAAACTGGGGACATCCTATTGCACCTTTAAAGCAAAGCTCTTCCTTTGCTGATCCCTTGATCCTTTCTGACACCCTGGAGTTAAGGCATTCTTTTAGACCCTGTGCCAACTGACTTGGAAAGAATTGTGGTTCTTTTACCTGGAAGATAAATCCCCTAGTAAGAAGGTATAACAGTCCTTGAAGCCCAACACTAACCACTTGCCTCAGGCAAATTTTTAAAAAAATAAAAAGGAGCTTTAGAAGCATTATTGTCAATTAAAGAGAGCAAGGAACTGGAAGTATACAGACCTCCATGACTACTAGCCTGTGTACCTTGAAACAAGTAGCTACAAGTAAGTTAGCAAACAACATAATTGAAGCCAAGCATTACTTTGCTTGCCTGATTTTTAAAACAAGTGTGGCTTCCAGAATTTAACTTTACAGCAACAAAATTCTGGGTCGCCACCTCCTCTTTTTTAGCTACTAAGTTCTGCACATCTGTAGGACAGAGTGAAGGGTTTTGATAGTCTCAGTGAAATGTGCTACTGGAGAGAGAGAGAGACTATCATCTAACAAATCTAAAAAACTGCATGTTTTTTTCCTGTGCCCGTTCCACCATGGTATGCGATGGCTCCATCAGCCTATTCAGCACATTTTCTTCGGAGTCAGAAGAAAAAGAGTTGTCCATGGAGTATCTTGTGCAGTCTCTAGCAAGCACTTTCCTATTTCAGTGCCCTGCAACACCTGCCCTGACCGAGGAGATTGCAGGGGGATGAGCTGGGCACTGAGAGCGGCGTTGGGCTCAGCCAGGGCTGGCGGGAGGGAATCTCCCACACGTTGGTCCTTGTTACCCCAGCACTTCTTTGGGTAAAATTGGAACCAGAGCTTCCCCAGTGAAAAGTTAAATATGGGAAGCAGGAGGTGGCACTTATTTATCCCAAAGGATCCCTCACCAACTTAGGCATAGTGATCCCTTCAACAGAGATATGGAGTAATTTCTGGGGTTGATGGCTGGACTACTAAGCAGTGTGAAAAAACAAGCGTGGGCTGATGCCTGCTTTTAAAACACTTGGGCGGGTTCTTCATCCTCCTTCCAGCGCACGCAGAACCTCCCTTTGCACAGGTCTACACACACAGAGACAGAGTGAACTGGCTGGAATCTAATTTACCTTAGGAAGCTCTTGGGCTGTGTCACCTTTACTGGTGTTAGACGTAAGGAATGGGATTTTCATTTTCACTTGTCTTCGTTTCTCTGAAGGTCCCATCATACCAATGTTTCCACAGTGCAAAGAGGCCGTCAGTGCTGGCGTTGCACCCACTCTGAGGTGCATTTATGCTTTCAGGATATTATAAAAGTGTCTTAGTATAAATGAGAATTTGGGCTGTCTCTGCTTCTGACAACACTTAGACTCCCAAACGATGATCTCAGCCTCTGCATTAGATTAAATGCAGTCCTGTGTTTGCCTTTTGGGCTTTACAAGCCTTCAGCTATTAATTCCAGTAGATGTGGGAATAAGGCAGGGATATGTTGAAAAACTGGACAGCTTTCTTACATGGGGAATACTAATGTCTTTGGGAGCATTTCAGACTTTTAAGGATATAAATTAATCATGCACCAGACTGCTCTCATCTCCTGTCTCCCTGTGGAGCTGGCTCTTTTGCCATTGGGGCTGATCATCCAGGGGGAGAAAGCACATTTTTTTTGTGTCTGCATGGGACCTACCACAGAGGTGGCCATACCACTTACAGCGTGGTATGCAGACTGACTGTAGTAGCACAGTACGGACAACAGCTGATGGACCGGCAGATGCCCAGGGTCTGAAATGGGGAAGACCCTGCTTGGAGTAATGGCCCTGGCAAGGGGGGAGGGGTGACAAAATGGACAGCAAAGCATGGAAGAGCTGAGCACTGCAGACAAAGCCTTGCTGTGGGGAAGGATCTCTGCCATGGAGTTTATTCCTACAGACTTTGCCTGCATTTGGCCAGTCTGTTTAAGAAGGTGCCTGGCTCACCCTGGATGGTGTGGCCTTGTCACTCACAGCTGTGGTGGGGTCAGTGAATGCTCCGATTCCTCCATATAAGCCCATTCAACACTAACTTTCCCCTTGGTTCCAGTTGATTCAGTGCTTCTACCATGCCCTGCACCCTGGTAAGAGGACAGCAGCCTGTTGAATCACCATCCCAAATAGACCAGGACCTGAAAGTGCTTTTTTTCCCAAAGCATAATTCTGCACTGCAAGCCGCAGTACAATCACAGCACGAAGAAGCAAATCCTTTTACATGGGAGGAGCGGGGAAGAAACCGGCCAGCCCAGCAGCAGGTGTTTTCCCGCTATTCAGAGCTTGTGGACCCCAGGAGATGTGTACTCTGGCTAAAAAAAGAAAGATCTGCCTGCTCCAGGATGCAAGACTCTTTAAAGTCCAGTGAGGACACTGTCCTCTGCCCACTGCACCTTTTCCTGTCCCAACAGGCTCCGACAGCCCGCAGGGCCATTGACAAGCTGCTCCCTGAAAAAGGCACGTGGGTTTTCTAATCTGCAGAGGCCATGCTTTCTCACCACACAGTAGCTGCACATCACCAGGCGATGGATATTTTCTTGTCTCTCAGGGACTATTCATTCACAAGAGTTGGTGGTTTCTTGCAGTTCTTCTATAGGGATTATATCCAGGGAGGTCATGGGAGTAGCTACTGTCCCTGGATATTTGATATAGGACATATTGGTAGGCAGCAGGTCACTTGCCAGTTTCTCGTCTTGTAGCAAAGAGGAGCTCTAGGCTCTGCCTAGTCCCTGTCTTTTTAAAATTTAACTCTTGATCTAATTGGAGTCTTTTTTAGAATGTCTTTTTCTGTTTTTTTGCTGCTTCCAAGGCAAAATTCTGAAAATTTCTGTGAAGATGCAGATGGGAGAAAAAAATGGGAGAAACCGATTGGGAGAGTTAAGGTTTCTAGAAGCCAGATGGAAAAATATGTTGAGCGCATGGTTCTCCCAAGAGTCATAGAATGTGCCACATGGTATAGTACAATATGTCCTATATATTTAACACTGAGCAACATTTGGACAATATTTCTGTATTGATGGCATGGCAATCTGTAAATGTAATGGAGAAGTGTGTGTAACAGCATGTAAGCTTTTGAAAGTGCACTTTAGGCAAAAAATCAACGTGCCAAATGACCACTTCCCTTACTGAAATACCCTGCAGAGACAACAGGCTGGGACAAGGTGTCAAATAGGGTAGACCCTGGCAAGCTGCAGTTACATGTGAAGCAATTTAACACCTCCAGTAAACATTTATAAACCGAGAAATTATTCCCATATGGGGGATGATTTACCATCATCTTTCACTAATATCTCCCTCCTCTTCACCTGCCCATCCCCATCCTCTTTGTTTTTTGAGCAGGAGCTAAAAAAAGAGAAGTTGGGGTGTGCTTAGTTATGCATTTATTCTCAATTGCTTCCACCTTGGCTCCTGCTGCTACACAGCTGCTTGGAGGCCTGCTTCTCCCTTCGGGGTTTACTGATCTCCCAGATGAATAATGTCCCCCTTCACCTCCCCAGCAGCTGGCGCCCAGCCGACGTGCAGGCAGGATGCTGGCAGTTATTGGGAAAACATTTGGCGTGCAGGCAGCTGCCAGAAAGCAAAAGTCACTCTGAGCAGACCAGGGTGGGGAGCATCTCAGAGACTAAACTACTCCCTGGCCCTTTTCGCATTTACAGTAATTATTTCCAATAAGAAATGTGCTGCCAGGGCCTAGAGCACTCATTAATTAGTTAATCCTGGACTGAATGCAAGAATGATTAAAAACTGTTGTAGATTCAGTCTTATCAGTTCTTTTTAGATTTTTTTTTTTTTTTTTTTTTTCCAATCTTGCCTTAGTTTGTCTCCTTTCTACATGGGTTTTTACTAAGGCTGCTTCCAGGGAATGGCAAACAGAGAAGTGAAGGGTCAAGTCCTGCTGCACCTGCACTCTACTGGTCAAGACGGATCTTCAGTAATGACCTGATATTGGGACAGAGTGCGGCCTCAGCAAGCTCATGGGTGGCAACAAGTTGGAGGGTGGGGAGCGATAGATACGCCAGAGGGCAGAGCTGCCATTCAGAGGGACCTCAACACCCGGGGAAATGGGCCAACAGCAGCCTCATGGAGTGCAATAAGGACAATCCCAAAGTCTTGCAGTGTGGGAGGAATAACCCCAGTACTGCGGTGGAGCAGCTTGAGAGAAAACAGCTCCGCACAAAAGGACCTGTGCGGATCCTGTGTGCCCTTGCAGGGAAGAAGCCCTGTGGCTCACTGAGCAGTATTAGCAAGCATGTGGCTAACGAGACACTATTCACATCTGGAGTACCAAGTCCAGCTGTGGGCTCCCCAGTACAAAAAAGGCATGATGAACTGGAACGAGATGAGTGAAAGGCCACCAAGCTCACTGAACTGGACTAAAGACACCCAGGGAGAGACTGAGAGATGACTTGGTTCAGTCTGTAAGAGGAGGCTGAGGGGGATCCACCTACAGCCATCAGGCAACTAAAAGGAGGATGTGGAGAAAATGAAGCCAGACTCTTGGTGAAGGTGTGCAGTGAAAGGAAAAGAAAAAAACAGACACAAGTGGCATCAGGTGAAATTCTAATTAGATGCATTTTTTTTTTCAAAAAAATTCCACAGTGAGGGTGGTCAAATACTGGAAACAAGTGCCCAGAAACGCTAGGGGGTCTTCATCCTTGGGAATATTCAAACTGGTTGGACCAGACCCTGATCAACCTAATGTCACTTTAAAGTTAGCCCTGCAATGAGCAGGGTGTTGGGCCAGATGAGCTCCAAAGATCCTCTCTGATCTAAATTACTCTGTGACTTTATTCTGTGATGCTGGAAAGTGTTTGGATCATCTTCTGTAACAGCTTTGGGTCATAAGCATTTTGAAGGCAAGCTCTGTTGGCAGGTGTGGTTGTTATCACTTTGAGGCATCATCTGGGTCCACATGTTTTTCCTTGTCAACGATGATCAGTTTA